GCCGTGGGGGTCTGCCTGCCCTGTGTCAACGCTGCAAATACTGTATATTCTTGCTTTGACAATATGCAGAACTGTCTGGTATTTTTATAGTTAAATCAGGCAACAGTGAAAGGGGAGGAGAATAAGGAAAGCCCGGGGAAAAAAAACCCGGAAGTAAATCACATCTTCCAAGTTAATTGGAAGATGTGAACCATGACCCCAAAATAGGGGAGGGAAAAATGCCTGGAATGTAGGTGCAAAAGGAAAAGAATCTCAGATCTAAGCATTTCCACCATGCCGTACTGACATCTCTGTAACCTTAATAAATGCTTTTAGGATAAAAATATGCCTGAAAGTCCTTTTAAGTGTTTCGTTAATCAGACACATGACACCCTGCTTCTGCCCCATGCCCCCCCTCGCCCTGCTCTCCCTGCAGATGTACGACTACAGCCTGGACATGTGGAGCCTGGGCTGCATGCTGGCCAGTATGGTCTTCCGCAAGGAGCCCTTCTTCCACGGGCACGACAACTACGACCAGGTGAGCCCCCTCCCCTCGGCCCCCGCCAGCCAGAACCAGCCGTGCCCCGTCTTCCCTTGCTGGCGGCTCCTGTAGGGACACCGGCCAGCTCTGCTCTGCTCCGCTCGCCCTCCAGACTGCCCTGCGCCCTCCTCCCGCCTTCACACTCACAGGAGACCAGAGTTGTGAGTTGTGGGGGGGTGGGGTGGGGTGGGGGAGGAGGCCCCGGACAGGAGCCCTGGGGTCGCCCTCCAATGGGCACAGAAACAGGAGGGTCCATGCAGAATTCTCCATCACAGGTGGGCCGTGATTGCCCCAAAAGGCAACTGGACTTCCTTGTTTTTCGTTTTTCGTTTCGCTTTGGAATCGTTTTGCTTCTCATCCAAGAACTGGAGAAGCTTCTGGGATGTGAAGCAAAATGTTTTCAAGGGAAAATGGCTTCCCTCCATCGGGCTTGGCTTGCCAGAAGGTCGCAAAAGGGGATCACCTCAACCCGGGACGCCGCAACCGTCACAGATACGAATCAGGGGCCAAGTGTTCAAATGTTGGGGATGCTGCAACCGTGGTTAAACGTGAAAAACTTTCATAGGCCGCTTTTTCCCCCCCCAGTGCTGTTGTAAGTTAGAACGGACACTAAGCCGGTGATTGTAAGCCAAGGAGTTACCTGTGCTGTAGAAGGCCACCTGGGGGGCCTAGGAAGAGAACCTTTTCTTCAGGGCCCCCACCCTGCGGAACATCGGACAACCCCCCTCGAATTAGATTGGCAGATTTAACTCCACTGGCCTTAAAGACGCGGTTTTGCCCACCGGATTTTTAAATCTGGATAGGGGGTAGTTCCTGCACAGCGATTTTGTTGATAGATGTCGGTGTTCTTTTTATAGGCTTGGCTGCTGATTGTGTAGCAGGGTGTTTGTGCAATTGTACTACCCTTGCACTGTCCTTTGCTTTTTGCATTGTTTTGAATGGCCATCAGCCTCACATCAGTCGTGTGGTTGAGGCAGATTGAAATTTTATTTCTCCCCTCTTTCATTGCCGCATTGGCTATAAAACAGGGGTCTTCCCACTTGGCCCTTTGATGACTTGTGGACTTCAACTCCCAGGATTCCTCAGCCAGGCACGCGTGCCTGGCTGAGGAATCCTGGGAGTTGAAATCCACAAGTCATCAAAGGGCCAAGTTTGAAGACCCCTGCTTGTGGACTTCAACTCCCAGAGCGTGCCTGGCTGAGGAATTCTGGGAGTTGAAGTCCACAAGTCATCAAAGGGCCAAGTTGGAAGACCCCTGTCTTAAAGCATCCTGGCTGAGGAATTCTGGGAGTTGAAATCCACAAGTCATCAAAGGGCCAAGTTGGAAGACCCCTGTCTTAAAACATCCTGACTGAGGAATTCTGGGAGTTGAAGTCCCCAAGTCATCAAGGGGCCAAGTTGGAAGACCCCTGTCTTAAAGCATCCTGGCTGAGGAATCCTGGGAGTTGAAATCCACAAGTCATCAAAGGGCCAAGTTTGAAGACCCCTGCTTGTGGACTTCAACTCCCAGAGCGTGCCTGGCTGAGGAATTCTGGGAGTTGAAGTCCACAAGTCATCAAAGGGCCAAGTTGGAAGACCCCTGTTGTGTATATTTATCGTGGTTTTTAGTATCGCCTGTTCACCGCCCTGAGTCCCGTAAGGGAGATAGGGCAGTATATAAATTTAATAAATAATAATAAATAATAATAATAATAATCAAAGGGCCAAGTTGGAAGACCCCTGCTATGAAACGTCCTGCTCTGTCCTTGCCGCTGCCGGGCGGTGACCCCCTTCCCACTTCTGGATCTTTCCCCAGTTGGTGCGGATCGCCAAGGTGTTGGGCACCGAGGATCTCTACGACTACATTGACAAGTATAACGTGGAACTGGACCCCCGTTTTAACGACATCCTGGGCAGGTGGGTGAGCAGAGCCCCCTCCCAGGCCCCCTCCCCTTGGGCGGGCCGTGGGCTGTCAAGGCTGTGAAGGGCAGCACTGGGAATCTTCCCCCTTTCCCTCCGGGGCAGGCATTCCCGCAAGCGATGGGAGCGCTTCGTGCACAGCGAGAATCAGCACCTGG